TTAGACTGAAAGGCCTGATTCTAACTTCAGTTTATTTCAGTGTCTGTTACAGGTTTTAAAAAGAGGGGAGGTGGGATTCTCACAAAAATAGGGTGATCTGAACAAAAGTTGTGAATCACTTCCACAACCATTTTTCAATCCCAACCAAAATTATCAAAATTGAGCTAGTAAATGTTCATGTTCTGTAATCAAAATGTATTTTTCTTTTTAATAAATGGTTTGAAAACATACCAAAACTCTTTAGAATATTTTAAACATCAGGAAGTTCCATGCCCAATGTTTTCTGGAGACAAATGGAAGAACGTTTTTTAGTTGTTTGTTCTTTACAAACTTTCATTGTTTCTGGCAATGAAATTACCAGTAGAAACAGTTCCAAATATCCATTTTAAAGTTCTCAACCCCCAGCACACTTCTTTGAAAAGCCATAAAGTTCTCATTGTTAACTACCTTTATCTTAAAGAGGCAGATTAAGTGTTGATTTTCTGTGAAAACAGAGTTAAGTACCATAATACATTCAGCCACGTGTCATTGTAATGAAGTCAACAAATTTAGAACATCTGTCTTTTGGTAAAATAAAAAGATATTCTAAGTTCAACAGCACTTTTCCATACTTTGCCCCTAGGGTACCTTTTGAGATATTTCATTGACACTGACCCCACCACCTCCATCACTTATGTAGAATTGTAAAGATTTGCTCCATTTTAGAATTATTTTTGGACAATTAGAAATTTATAAACTTGGATAAAATTAACCACATGAGTGATGGCCTGTAATACTTTGGACTCTGAACTTTTTTTTTTTTTAAGGTTTTATTGGGGAATTGGGGGAGGGAACAGCATTGGGGAATCAAGGAAGGGGAACAGACAAGTTGCTGTCCTTTCGTTCTTCAGTCTAGTTGTGGAGGAGGTTGCTTCACTGGCCCAAGTTGGTATTATCATTGTTCTCTTCTGGGGTGAGGCAGTTGCTAGCCAGCCATTGGACAGCCGCTCTTGGCAGCTCACGCTGGCTGCCAGCCACTCACAGTAGCTCATGGCAGCCCACTGCAGCCCCACTGCAGCCTACCCATCACTGGCCACTCACGGCAGCCCAGCTCCAGGTCCAGCTGTTGTTCACCATATCTTAGCTGTAGAGGGCAGCGTCACTGGCCCTCATGTGGGATCCGAATCAGAGCCCTGCTGCTCAGAGCTGGCGTCCCAAGCAACTCCTAACCAACGCGCCACTCAGCCAACACCGGACTCTGAACATATTTGTAACTAAGAATGATTCCATGAATGCTCTTTAGTACTATTCATTTAGGCTATAGGTATTTACTGGCAAATGACCAAAGCAGAAGACGATTCTGTCAGAATGGCACTAATTTTCTAGTGAGAAGAGAGAAACCGGATTAGTAAATAAATACCCACTACGCTAGATGGCAGTCGGCGCCAAGCAGCAAACAATAAGCAGGTGTTGGGGTGCTTGCCCAACTTCAGGTACTTGACATTTCCACAGGGAACCCAGCACAGACTTCACTGATAAGGTACCCTGAGTAAATACCCGAAGGCAATGAGGGAGCAAGTCAGGCCTCCATCTGAAAAAGAACAGGAACTACAGAGGTCCTGACCCAGGTGGGGGCGGGGCGGGGAGGAAGCGACTGAGGGGAAAGTTACAGTGAGTGAGCCTTCGCAGGACTCATGGGGTGAAGGTCACAGAGGGCCCTGTCATGACCAAGGACAAGCTGTATTTCTCTGAAGGAAATGGGCAGAGGGCTGTTATGCAGAGTGATGTGACTGGCGTGCGCCATTTATTAATATCTATTTCTATCAGTACAGACTGGTGTGCTCATTGTATTCTGTGGATGAAAACCCAGTACGACCACTAGGCTTTGTTGCTGCTGAGATGGGTCGAGCTCTTAGGAACTCCGGCAGGTTGGCTCCTGTGCTTTCAGTAAGTCCCCCCAGTTCTGAGCACCTCCTTCCTTTCTGGCCCCTCATCTTGTCTTTTCCCTGCACGCAGAACTAACTACTTTACTTCTCAGGGAACCCTGGTTCCTGTTTTGGAGAACAGTGGTTAGAACCAAGATCTGGGCACTAGGTGTGCTCGCTGTTCCTGGGAATCGCTGCTCCCTGGCCTGGGCTGGGGACAGCTGGCAAGCTGCGGTGTGCACACTAACTCACACAGATACACAAGTCTGCATTTCCCTATCTGCACAAATATTAAAAACCATGAGTTGATATTGACCCCCTCATTCCATTCCAACACCGCAAAATTCACTTTAGCCTTTCCTTCCATGTAGCTCCTTTCTCCAACATTGAAAACCCTCCTTCTCATTATCTACCAAATACTTACTTGTTCACTTACAGCGTACACGAGGTGTAACAGTTTCAGAACTGCTAACCCATTTAGTCACTAGATTATAGCGCATATGTGCAGTTCCTTGTCTTTAGCTTTATGGGTATCCAGTCAAGATACTCTTTTCTGTTACTTAGTGTAGTTTTTTCCTTCCCTATCCCTTTCAGTATGACTTTGCTATTCCTTTTGGTTCTCCTGTATCCTAGATGGTTGTAAATGCTTATTTAGGGGATATGTTAAACATGCCTATGGTTCTAAGTCACAGCTGTATAAAAAGATACATCTGAGAAGCGTCTGTCACACCTCACCCCAGCTATGTGGGTCCCATTCCCATCTTTCCACCGCTTTCCTTCCCACATCCATGGGTAACCAATTTCTTTACTTTTTAAGTTTACCCTTCCAGTATTTCTTTTTCACAAATGACCACATGCCTATATATTTCCTCATATCTCATTCTTTCTTACATAAAGGGGTGCATACCATAAATGGTGTTTCACACTTTTTTTTCCCATTTAAAAGGTATATATTGGAAACCATTCCACATGTTTATAAAAGCTGTTCCTCACTATTTTTACAGGTTGTTTCCAATATTTTCCAAATTAAACAATGCTACAACTATTAACTTTTAATAGCATGAATATTTTGTATTATTGGAGGCAGATTTCCAGGATAGATTCCGAGAATGGTCAAAAGATAAGCGCATGTGTAGTCGGTTCGTTATTCCCAATTTTCCCTCCAGAAGATTTGTACCAATGTGCATTTCCACCAGCCAAGTATAAGAGTGACTACTTCCCCACAGTCTTATCAACAAATGTGTTGTTATATGTTTCAAGTTTTGTTAGCGAGACAAACTCTTCGTAGTGGAAAACAAATTTTTAAAGTTCTAGCTAACTGGTCTACCCTGTGCCTATTTGATAATGGTGAAAATCAAAACAAAAAAAAACAGTAGAAATGGCAATAGAAGACTGACACTACCATAAGTTTTGACTGACCGGCACTAGTGGAGAAATAAAGGTTTGACAATGCGGCCACTGAGGCCCTTCTAATCTCATCTTTCCTTCTACTCCCAGCACTCCATCTGCATTCCACTAGTGTGGGCCCACTGAGCACTAAAGCCTCAATAAAGTGAGAAGGCAGGCAGGTCTCCCCTGGCCCTTGAGTCCTATGTCAGGGGGAGGGCTTACCCCTGATATCTAAATTCCATTTAAATGTTAATCAGTGAAGTCTTTAAAGAACAAGAACGGTGCCTTCTGTCCAAAAGGGGCAGGGTGAGGCAAGCTTTCCTCACCCTCTGAGTGAGCAGAGCTAGGAAATGTATGGACACCTGTGTACTCACGTGTATACGAGTATCTCTATTCCTGAATTTGTATAAATAGGAGAGAGTTCATATTGATTCTTCCAGTTCCAACTCAACACCAGAAAGTCCAACATTCCAGCCTGTTCGCTGCCTTTCCTGTAGCACAGGTGTACTTCGTTTTATGCTTCACTTGATTGCGTTTCACAGATGTTGTGCTTTTGACACAGTGAAGTCAAGACCCTCCACCAGAAAGGTCACGATCCCCTTTGTTGTGATACTTGCTTTACTGCAGTAGTCTTGACCCAATCCCACAATCATCTCCAAGATATGCCTGTACTTTTCACTGTCACAAAATAATCCCAAACTACTTCTGAATTCGTTCATGAAAGAAATAGCTCCCACTGATCTATCACAGTTTCGATCTGGCCATCTAAGTATGTTCAGACTGTGCAATTTCTGTTATGCATCATATTGTTCATACTTTAGTAACATAAGCATTTAAATGTAACGTCACATTTCCAAAACAAGCACTCTTAACTTGCCTCATCTTAAGGTGAGTTACTTATCCACATAAATTAGATCATTTTGATAATCTGAGTAAAGCTAGAGTTATAATAATTCAATCATTACTTGAATGTAAGTCCTTGTCTCAATTATATTTTTAGAAGTTTTAACTATATTTGACTTATTAAAGCCCATATAATTTCTGTGGTCAAAATTTCCATTTTTAATATTCCTTTGGAAGGGCTAGTGCAGCTCTCCCAAATACACTTGTCAAAAGCCAGAGGGAACCTGAAGCCAGCAAAACAATTTCACGTCACAGGGTTTGTTGCCTTTACAGAGGGAAGATAAATGTTCCATTTACTTCAGTGCTCATTTCAAAATTACACGGAAATCACAGTGAAAGCTCTGGAAGATGGCAGACCACATACATATTACTATGGGATAGTGCCAAAAAGACAAACTGAACTGCCAACTTAATGAAAAGATTATTTCAATCAATTTTTAAAATAGCAAATAAGGCTAGTCCACATGTGGACTAAAGACCTATCAAATCTTGTCCCTTTTATTTTAAATCGTCATCAAATAGTTGTCTTAAAAAGACAAAACCACATGGATGTATACGCATAGTTAGCAAACGTTTGACTTACATGTAAAATATTTATCTCAAAGGTTTACATTTATTGCACAACTGAACATATTATGTTCTAGTGGTCTGCACAAACTATCTTGGATATAAATGACTAATTTCCTATTTTAAGGGCTTTTACATTATAGTGATCATTTAATAAAAAAACTCTTACATGAGAACCTTTCTGCTCACTAGAGTGCGTGTTACAAACTGTGCTTAAGTATTTGTTTTCCTACTCACTTCTGTGCTCCCTGAGACAACAGCTTTGTCCACGGTCACCAGTAAAGGCTCTTCCAGCTGGCACACTCCCAGTGACCACTCCACACAGCGGTGATGAGCCCAGCAAGTGCCTGAAAGGGTTACAGTGACAAGGAGCAAACGGAGAACGTTAAACACACTAACACTAATGCGTGAGTACACACTTGAACCCCCAAATCACCTCTAACGTGTAAAATGCACAATGGCGTCCTGTATTTCTGATACCACTAATGCAGCCCTTCTCAAAGTGTGGTCCAACCTCTGCATCAGTATCATCCGGGAACGTGTTAGAAATGCAGAATCTCACATCACAACCAGGACCTACTGAACCAAAAACTCTCGCAGTGGTGCCAGAAGCCTATGTTTTAACAAGCCCTCCAGGTGAGTCTGATGCACACAAAAGATTGATAACCACTGAATTGGTGACTGTTTAACAAAAATATTCATTTTCAGTCATTTTTCTTTAAAAATAATAAGATATTTTCTTTGGACTCTTATACATACAATAGAAAGGACATTATTTAATACTTTGTGCAAAGAGGACGGATGGCGGCAAAGAAGCTACATGATGTGCCTCTTCTGCCCCAACCCACACCCGTCACTGGTAACGGCTCAATCTTCCAATTCTCTAGCACACAGCCTTGAACCACTGCCAATCAACACGCAGCTCAACAGCAGCACATTGAGAGCGAGTGTGATCTACACTGTTACACCGGGACAGCCACATGGCCAAGAACTGCTGTCCTTCACCCTTCCATTAAACAGACCCAGGCCGCCATGTTCCCCAAGCTCTCAGATCCCTTTAAAATTTCTTTCCTCAACTGTCAGATCTCCAAGGCATTGCTGTCTACACAAGAGCAAATGCAAATATTTATAAAAGCACCCAGCCATGTTAACCCTATGCAGATACTGAAAAAATTGGTAAACGTAATTAGACAACTTCTTTTACCTAAACAGGTATGCTTACCAATGACATTTTTTCACAATGTGATCCTAATTATTTCTAGGTGAAAGGTAATTACTACGTAGTTGATAATTCACTAAAATTAAAATGCTTACAGAATCAAGAGGTAATTATTACTGAAGCTCATACCTGTAGGATCAAATAAGGCTTGCACGTCAACGGCATCTGGAAGGCCAACCAGGCTGAGCTCGTCCCATAATTTACCAGCCTGGTCATCGGTGGCAGTCTGTGTGCTTACACTTACACAGGACACTGTATTCTGCTGAGATCTGGGAAAAACAAAATAAAACCAATGTGAAAGTGACAAGTAAAACAGGTTTCGTTTTAGAACTTAAATATAATGTATTGCCAGATCAATTTTAATTTATTAGGCATAAACTGTCATAAAACCTTTAAAACACATCTGTTGTTATTCACAGTCTAATGTAAAACTGGGTTGCTACATTGCATCATCTAAGTAACAACTTAAAAAAGTCTCCAAATCTATAAAAAGTGTAAAAATTAGTTGCAAATTTATTTTGCCATTCTATAATTTAAAAAAAACATCTGATGCTCTAATAATCTAATAAGGAACCATATTTTATCACATAAACTGAATATTCTCTTTGGCCTTACTTTAAATGCTTATAAAATATAACTTGATCAAATCAGAAGTTTAAATTTGCTTTATTGTGAGTGAGAACTACCACAACACAGCGGCAGTTAATTTTACATAGAGAGAGGTTATTTCCCCGGGGAAATGAAAACCCACTACAACGTGTCAGCTGGAGCTTTTGTGTGGCCCCCACAAATCTCCACAGCTGCTCTGCGGTGTGGCGTTGCAAGTCCTCTTCTACCAAGACTTCACCTCCCACATCAGAAGTAAAAAAGAAAAAGTCAAATGTCTACTAGTGGCTTAGGGAAGAAGGAAGGGAGTATAACAGCAAAACACACAGTACAGAAATGAACGCTGAATAAGATATACAACACATGGAGGTTTCAGATTTTTCAGGCCCCTGAAATTCAGATACTAATTGAGATCATGAAGTGAACAATGACTGCTATTGTGTGTACACATTAAATATGGAAAACCAGGTGGCTGGCACTAGAGCTTCAATCTTCTCTGGATGTCACTGTGTTGGACCTGATAGAATTCTGAATGAAATCACTACTGAACATAGATCACAACTCACTGCACTTCTGTCTGCTGGACATTTATCATGATTCCTATTAAGAGAAAATCAGCACAATGGCAGGGGACTAAAGTTTTTTACACCTAGAATCATTGAAAGAAAAAAAGTATTAACATATTTCAGTAAGTACATTGGAATATCAAACCATATAAATATCAGCATTTTTTATGTTCAGCATTAGAAATGCACAGACTCACTTTTTAAAAAGTTTAGCCTGCTATGCTCACTTTAAAGTCTCGTTTTTACAAATGCCCACAGTAAAATGAGAACAAATGCTTTCCTATAAATATATTCGTAATTGCTATAAATATTCTTTATTATAATCATTGTCTTTTTATTGGGAGAGATAAAAAGACTAACAGTTCATCTATAAAGACTACTGTATTTTTTTAACATATTTCCTTTGCACGCACCAGTGTCTGATGGGGTCCAGGTATAAGAACCCATGGAATGACTAACCCATCTATTACTACCCAGGTTCTAACCAGTGGCTTCATCAAATTTCACCGTTGAGTTTTGCGACCAGTTTGTATGTATACACTGTATCAGTAAGATGCTGATGTCAACCCGAAGAATGACAGCAGCCCAACTCAGAAAAGAACATCAAGAGATGTCAGCTGAAACACAGACCCCCAAATTTTAAGTCTAAAACAAAAGGAAAGAAGAAAAGACTCCTTGATTATACAGTCTTACATTTAGTGCACCAAGAGGAAAAACTATTTAAAAACCTCATTTTCAAATTAAAAAAGAATTAACTAGCTGTTTATCTGGTTTATAGTTCATTAGTAACATATCCTGTAAATATTTAAAACCACTATCAAGCTAAATTAATCGTCTACCCCTAAATGATTTCTAAATTTCATAAATGTGCTTTATTCCTAAGGTCCATTAACTGGCTTGTTATCATTACTTAATAATTTGGTAAACACTAAGTATATATGAAGACTTTCATTAAACCAAGGCTATTTTTACATAACTATCACATTAGCTCATAAAGATTTTCACTAAAAGTTAACTTTGCTTATAAAATAAGTAAACAAAGCCCAACTGTATTTCCCAGAACAGGTGTTTACATAATTGCCATGATTCAAGATACAACATGAGAATATAAGATATAACCTGGTCCAGTCCATAAATTTGCTAATTACTGATGGACATTATAATGAGTTTGTTGGACTTTTACTGGTGTATCTTATTAGGCTGTGAGCACTCAATTTACACAAAAGGTAAAGCTTTGATATATGATCTAGCTATGGCCTTTATATTATTAAGACTCTCCAAATATAGTACTTGTAAACTGCCTTAAACTGTTCCACCTTAAATTCTTTTAAAAGATTCTCTGTCTTGTTATTGTTTCATTTCCTACTTCAGGTCTTCAAGGCATTGGCAGCAGTTCAAAAAAAGGAGCCAATCAAATAAGTGCAACACAACAATGCCTTAGTGCTTCAATTTGGGTAAAAGCCAGGGAAGCACTTGGATGATTACATCATCACCCTCAAGGGGCAGCGCTGGGGAGCCTTTCCAAGCTAAATTAATTTTACACTTTCTCATCGACCTCAAAAAATGCTATTCCCTCGACTACCAGAGCCAAGCCCACAGATTAAGATGGCCTTTAACCAAAACTCTAAAACACATAAAAAGGTTTTTAACTCCAAAAGCAAATATATTAGACAAGCGTTTGGGGTGGGTCACTACAATGTCCATGAATATAGACACACATATACATTTTACAAATATCTTAGTAAATTCTTGTTTCATTTAAGAAAAGCATCTTCTTTAACTCTGGAAAGGGCATTCAAGCATATAGTTACTACTCAGAGAGCAAGTCAGCCCTGTGTAAGAGTTCACAAGACAGCTCCCCATTCTCTGAACCATAGAAAAAAGAAGTGACACATAAAGGACATGAGCAGTGAAAAGCACTTTGGTTTTGCTCTTCTCTTATGTTATGGTCTTACAAACAATTAAAAATGTATTTAGAGGGAGGAAAGAAAGTCTTCATTAACCTTTTTATCTTCTTTCCATGTACATTATGTTCTTAAAAGTTTTCTTCTAAAAGTTAACTTTTGTGATCATACTGACTTTGTTATATATACAATTAAGATAAACTTTTTTTGATATGAAATTTTGAAAAAGGGGGTGTTTGTTGGGTTAATGGTGAGTCACAAAGCAGCCTAGGAATGCTGAAAACATGAGAATGTTCGGTAACACCACCATTTATACATTCACAAACAATGCAAGTCTTAACGCATCCCAAGCAGTTCAACTCAAAATCGCTTACTTTCTCTGTCCTCTCTGTTTGCGTGATGCTGAGTTTTGCATTTTCTCACAGGTTCCATTGCTGCTGTCCTCAATGTCCTTCTTGTTAGAAGGTTGGTTTTTCCACGGCAGGATGAATCCAGGCGTCACTCCAAATTGTTTTAAGTCTCCTTGTCCTAAGGAGCTTTTCTCACCACAGTAACAGAAAGCGCAGAGCTGTTCGCTGGTAGAAGTGAAAAGTAAGGAAGGCAGAGAAAGAGACAGTGACTTGACTTCACTATTTTAAGTAACAGATACTTGTGCTTTACAAGGAAATACTATGTGTTTTGTGTAAGCTAATCTTCAGAACAATTACGAACAATATCATAAGAACAATTAAATGTAACAACAATTATACATTTACAATTCGACTTTTCCACAGCATGGTTTTTTAAGTAGTAACATACCAAAATCAAAAAATTCTAGTTTGTACTTAGAAAAACAATTGTCTTTTAAATCTGACTCAAGAAATTTAAGTATTAAAAATAAAGCAGGGCCGGCCGAGTGGCGCGATGGTTAAGAACTCGCTTGGGATGCCAGAGGGCCCCGGTTCGGATCCCACATATGAGGGCCAGTGACACTGCCCTCTACAGCTAAGATGCTGAACAACAGCTCAACCTGGAGCTGGGCTGCCGTGGGTCGCCGGCGACGACGTAGGCTGCAGTCCCTGTGGCAGTGGGTTGCCATGGGCTACCGTGTGTAGCCAGCAGCCAGCGTGAGCGGCCAGCAGCCGCAGTGAGCGGCCGTCCAGAAGCCGGCGACTGATCTGCCTCGCCAGGGAAGAGCGCAATGATGGTGCCAACTTGGGCCAGTGAAGCAGTGTCCTCCACAACTAGACTGAAGAACAAAACGACAGCAACTTGTCTGTTCCCCTTCCCCTAATTCCCCAGTACTGTTCCCATCCCCCCAATTACCCAATAAATAAAAAAAAAATCTTAAAAAAAAAAAAAAAAGAGTACAAACAATTTAAAAAATAATAATAAAATAAAAAAAAATAAAGCAAGTAACGCTAAGATTGGGGCAGAGGGTAGGGTTTAACAGTCACATGATTACACCCCGGCTCTGTAAAGCAAGTGGTGGCAAACTCTGATTTAACCACTTGATGGCACGCTCTTTACGCATGATGGATTACCAAGCACACGCATACACACAGGGAGAGATGTAAATATACGTGGTTGCGGGATTAGGCAGTTAGTGCCGGGAGTGGGGAGGGCCAGGCTTAACAGGAGTCGGAAAGGGATGCCGAGGCGGAACACAGGGCTGGCGGTGGGAAACTTCACCGTGTCGTACGCTGTAATGACGGACACACGACCGACATTATGCACGTGTCAGAACTAAAGAACACAGAGAATGGACCCTAATGTAAACTGTGGGCTTTAGTGAATGATGCATCAAAACAGGTGTGTCGGCCGTAGCACATGTACCACACTAATGCGCGCTGCTGTAGCAGAGGCAGCTGCGGCGGGAGAAGGCGAGGAAGGGAAACCACACTCCTTACAGGGCACACACTGAGTAAGGACCTCAGAGAGTACACTGCTCCTCTTGGATCTATTTCTCTTCACAGAACATCGACGGCTGCTGTACCCAAATATTTCTTCTCGTCCATTAAACTCCCCACCATTACCTCTGCCCACCTACCCAATGGACTTTCATAAGGCCTTACATCAACAGGTGATAGAAACAATCTGTAATCTTTGCAGGTGATGGTTTTTAGCTTAAATTCACAGTGGGCCTTTCTCAAAAAATTACCTTTTATTTATGTAAGTTACCTATTTAAGTTTTTCCAATATTACCTATTTCAATTTAATCACAAATTGTGTTGCCCTTTGATACACACACAATATGATCTACTTTCAGAATAATAAAGTCAAATAGGAAAAAATTCTTTTTCATCTTGCTTAAAAGACCAGTATCCTTTGCCAGTATCTTATTAATTTTCTAATTTCCTTATTGATCATTTTCCCTAAGCCACTACGCTTACGTTTCTCTCGTGTACCCATTTCTGGCTTGTTTCTTCCCCAGGAACACTACTGAGGAGCACCAACAAGATGACATGAGCCTTCTCAACAACACTGCTTACAGCAACACTGCTAAGAAAATGGAGCAATGCTTTAAAATACTGACAAACAATATCTTCACCTTCAATTTTATATCCAAGACCACCACTCAAACGTGAAATGTAAAAAAATTATTCCCGGCTTAGAAGACCTCAGAAATTTCACTGCGCAACAGACCCACAATGAAAATATTTTTAGACAAGTACTCAACTTTTTGAAGAGTTAGGAAAGGTTGCAGGAGATGTAGGCAGTAAGGACGAACACCTCAGAGCAATTTATTGTTAACTTGGGGTGGGGGCAAGGAACATTTCTCGTTTCCGCTTTGGGTGTGGAAAGCTGCAACCAATTCACTTGCAACTGAATGAAAGCACCTCCAAAATGAGGTAAGAGCCAAGCACCTGCCTGACCTGGAAAAGACTGTCACACAAGCAGGATGAGAAGAGTTCAGTGAAAAGTCTCCATCGGGTGCTACAGACCAAGACTGAAGTAGTGGGAGGCCCACAGACACAGCTCCTACAGGCCAGGGACCTCCTCAGGGCCCCCGGCAACAGCACACGGCGAAGGTGAAGAGCCCTGGGAGAGCGCCAGTCATGGTACAAGCCTTGGGAGGGGACAGATGCCACATGGGGAAGACACAGAGCCCCACCCAGATCTTTGTCCCTCACTTTTCCTGGGGAACAAAAAGGCCTTAGGCTGGTGGAGGTAGGACAGCAAAAATCACCACACTGCAACAGACCAACTGCGGATGAAGGAACAGCATGGCGGGTGGGGGGAACTACTGCGTCCTGGACCCGGACCATCGCAAGTCTCCTATTGGGGCAACAGCAGGACCACTGAGACCGCCAGTCCCCAGACCTGGGGACACAGTGCTTCCCTTAGGTTAAGTTGAATCAGAACAAGAAGCGTCCTGCCGACCCACTCTCCAGGGGAACTCCCGTCCATTACTAGTGGGACTGCAAGGCAGTGCAGCCACACTGGACAACGCTGTGGCCTTTCCTTTAAATTATCTCCCTCCTGGCAATTTACCCAAGTGAACTAAAACCCCATGTTCACACCAAAACCTATGAGTTAATATTTATACCAATTTTATTCATTACTGCCCTAAACCATAAACTACCCAAACATCCCTTCACCGGAAAATGGTAAACAAATTGTGTGTGGTAGGTGCCTCCATAAAACAAACCCTACTCAGCAATGGAAAGGAAACCACCACTGATCTATGCAATAACATAGACTATTAACTCAAACGCATTACGCTAAGTAAAAAAGCCAGAATCAAAAGTATACATACTTTATGGTTCCGTTCATATGATGTTATTGCAAAGGCAAAAACTACAGGGACAGGAAATAGAAGAGTGGTTGCCAAGGGCAGAAGCTGGGGTCAGGGCTGACAACAAATGGGCATCGGAGAACTTTTTAATACGATGGAACTGTTCTTTATCTTGTTGTGGTAGTGGCTATATGACTGTACACAATTCTCAAACTCATTAAATGAATGGATTTTACTGTACATAAATTAAATCTTCATATTTAAAAATGGAAAAAAATAGTTGGGGGGGGGGTCAAACCAAAGGAAGTATATATCTAAAATAACTAGAAAACTGTAGATGCCTGACCACTGCGCTATACACCTGAAGCTGAATAATACTGAATGTCAACTATAATTTTTTTTTATATATCATGGGATGTGGAGTACAGCATAGGGAATTGAGTCAATGGAATTGTAACAGCTACATACGATGTCAGAGGGGTAGTAGATTGGGGAGGTGTTACCACTTTGTAAGGGTATGTGTAAATGTCTAACTATTACATTGTTTTGTACACCTGAAACTAATTTAAAACAAAAGAAATAGAAAATAAAATAACTAGAAAATGGAACGCCAATGACAGATGCAAAGGTATGAAAATATGGTAAAGTACTAAGACTAAAAAAAAAAATCTATCAAAACTGTGAAAGTTTGAAATTCTTTCAAAATTACACTCAATCGGGTAAAGAAACATGAGGGTTGAGTCTTAAGGAAAATCACTTAAAAATAAAATATAATGTACACTAGAAAAAATTACCAATAGCAGCAAGCGGAAAACTGTACCACCTTCATATAACTCACATGATAGTAAGGGAGACAAATAATTAACTGAACTGTCAGGGAATCCTAAGTGTTACAGAGAACGGTAAAGCAGGATTAGTGCGTGAAATGTGGTGGGGCGGCTGTTTTATTTATTTTCCATCCTACTCTTTTATGTTGAAAATTTTTACAACTTCCCCCAAAATGGGGGTGGAGGGTTGGGCGGAGCATACAGAACAGTATACAAACACCCATATACCCTTAACTCAAATTCACGTCATGTGCTCTCTTTCCCGTGCTGACTGACTCTAAGTTGAGACAACATGACACTTCAGAGGAGACTCGCAGTGGAGGCAGGGCGTACTTAGTTCCGGGAAGGCCTCTCGTGGGAAGGAAGGCACGAGACAGGCCCACGTGTGTCGGGAGCACGAGGAGGCCAAGGTGACAGCAGCACGGGAAGGAACAGATGAAGTCAGAGAGGTAGGTGGGCTCAGATCACAGCCTGCAGAATACGGTATGGGTTTGAAAGTTTAAACATAACTTAAATATTTAATTTAAATATAACAGCCATTAGAGAGGCCTGGGAGCGGACCCAACTGGTGTTTTAGAACGCACTTCTGTAACTGTACTAAGAACAACCTGGATGTGGAGCGAGACCAGTTATAATAAAACACTATTCTTGCCCCCTAGAAGATAACGGGCTTGAACCGAGACAGGAGGCCAGTGGAGAGGGCAAGGGCTGGTTTGGGATATCTTCTAAAGTTGAGCTACAGGATGTAGACTATGAGGCATGAGAAAAGTTAGAAATCAAGGATTAGCTCAAAAGTTTCTGGCCTAAGCAACTGGGTGAATACTAGTTTTATTTATTAAAGTGGAGGAATCAGGAGCGGTGTGGGGTCAGGCTCAAGAGCGACTTGAGGCATGTGAGAGGGTGAGAGCCTAGTGGACTTCCAACGGGAGGTGCCGGCAGACAGATGGGTAGGAAAGTGTGGCACTCTGAAAAGTCAGCCCTGGAAGTGGGACTGTGGGGCTCATTAGCACACAGATGGGATCTAGCTATCAGACTGAATGTGCATTCCTGGTGGAGGACTTCGACCATAAAAGTGGGGTGTCCCCACAGAAGCAAGCAGAAGGCTCGAGGCAGGGGTGTGCCAAAAGCAAACTAAAACATATCAAAAAGATGGGAGCATTCTCTGATGAATGATTTCATAGTTTTGTCCATGTCTTTCAAATGAAGACAAAAAATAAAAGACTTCAAAGCTAAATTGCACACAGATAGGTTATAACGTCTAAGACTAAAGTCAGGGTAAGTTGTAAGAGTATAACTGAAGTAACTTTCAAAATCCAGTCTTAGGCTAAAGCTCAGCTATTTCCTCTGGTACAAAGAGCATCCTGGGATATTCTGTTCTGGTCTCAGGAGAGCAGGATAACAGGTGAGACTACTGCTCCGTTCTGCAATCACCTGACCACAGGCCACTCTCCCACATTACACACAGAGGTGTCTGCCTCCAATTTAAAGCGACTCAATGATAGACTTAATCCCGATTCACGTCCTGAGCTTGGGCTCTCTGAATGCTCCACACAAGCAGCTCCGGTCACCAGTCCCCCGTCAGCCCCGTCCGTTCTCTCACCTGATTCTGGCTTCTACACCAACAGAGACCAGGGAGCACGCCGATTCCTCAGACACTGACCGCTGGATGGCCGGGACTGGCTGTCTGCTACTGTCCACTTCGACTTCCGCATCCTCTTCTGCAGACTGTTCTTTGATTTCTGCTTAATAGTGAACAAGAGAACACAGAGTCATGTTTGCACTGATATGACTCTTCTGTGACGTCATCAATAAATCAACGTGTCTTAAAGGAAAAAGAATGAAACAAATGACAGTACGAAAGAAAGTCTGTGTGTATAATCAATGGCGTTATCTTTATTCTCTATTGTAAAATGATAATCAAATAATGTAACACATGGCATACTTTTCCTTGTCCCCAAATTACAACTGACTCAGAGAAGTTTCCTCGTAGTAATAAATGTTAAGAATCTTATGGTCAGGATTATAGCCGTTCATGTACATAACAAATGTATTTCAATGTGACTCAAAAAGAAGTTTCTTCACAATTTATAAAGTGAAACTACCATTAATTTAAAAGCCATTACACCCTCTAATTATTAGCCATTCTACGAGCTAAATAACTGAAAAAGCACACACTGACTCGCCTGCCTTTTTCGACTACCCTCCTGACTCCAAGCCCAAACACCTCATGCACACTTTCTTAGGAAGCAACCTAGCTGCTGAAAGGATTTTCAAACACGATCACCCGCAATATCACCCTTCTCTTTAAATCAGTCTTTTATACAATATGGCTAGACCTTAATGAGCATCACTCCACCTGTGCTGCTGACGCCATCCCATGCTCTTGGCTCCATCCTTCTTCATTTCTACCTTTGCTTATTAGACCTTTCTGTACCCCCACCCCCAAAACCCTCTCTCCCTCTCTCTCTCTCCCAACCCCCCTCCTCACCTTGCATTTACCTCCGAACCTCATGAAATCGGACTCTGGAGTGACTGCACTCCTTACCGCCCCCCTCTCCACTAACCCTCCTTAACAGGCATCCACGCTCCCACCACAGCAACTGTCCTGCCCACCACCATCAAAGGCAAGGGAGCTGATGCCCAGGGCCCACTCTCGAGCCCGCGAACATTCTGCCGTACCTCGGGCACCAAGGACTTACCTCCTTCTCAGTGAAACGCTCGTCTACCTTAGTAATAAGCAGGGAGACGCAATGGATGCTGTAGGCTTTGGCATCATAAAGACCCGGTCTCAAGTACCAGCTCTGCCATCTACTAACTGTATAACTTGGTGTAAAGCACCCCTCTCAGCCGCGATTCACCGGCCTGTAAAACTACCATCTACCTCGTGAGGCTGCTAGCGAAGATTAAATAGTCTAACGTCTGTCTCTACAGCGGGCTTCTTTTATTAACACATCACCACAGTGGGGCAGCCCTTGGTACGTCCCGCACGTGCGTCTCTGTGAAGAACTGAATTCTGACCCAGGTCCCAATGGTCTCCTCTGGATTGAGAGATTTGTAAATTAACACCGCTAACTCCTCTCCTGCATTCCAGACCCTACTTAACTGCACGCTAGACACATCCAGCAGCTTGAACGCTAACTTTCACACCCCATTTCATCTCCTTTTGCTGAGATCAGCACTTTGATGTGACTTCCCTATTTTTGCGACTATCCAAGTCTCGTAGATTCAAAATGAATTTTCGGGAGGTATTTTGACAAATGAATAATTTTAAAAACTAGTAACTGTTTGGTTAGAAAAACTACAAACAATTGTAAATCCTGTCAAATCATAAAATTAATGGTGAAATGAGGCATCAAACAGATGGTTTTGGTTTTCCTATTTAAAATAACATGTTTCTTTTTCAAATTGAAATAGAAAAGCTAACCGTAAATTAAGTTCTTGTGGGGCCTATCGACCATGGTGTCTGTCCCATGTACCCCCAGCCACAAAACTGATACAGAGTACCTAAATTCAAATCTACAAATATAAAATACATTTGCACCAAAGGATTCTAAATATATTTGCAAATTTTACTCTATTAGAATTTCTAATCACTATCTAAAAAAAGACACCCAAAATGAAAAAAATATGTCACAGACTTTAAGAAAACACAAATAATCTGTAGCCCCAAGAAGGTATTTCAATCCAGAGTAAAGAACTCCACAGATGAACACAGCTCTTAGCCCTGGAGAGAAATGGACAAAGGAAAAATCCCACGCTGTCTCTCATTCACGGCTCGCGTTTTCAGTTATGCACAGAGCTGCTCGGCTCCACGTGGTTATTTCCCAGCCCCCTTTGCAGCCAGCCCAGCAAGTTCTCACCGACAGCATATGAGCAGAAGCAACTGTGCGGCTTCCACAGCCCCTAAAAGGGGGCGATCTGCTCTGTGTCCCCTCTTGCCTATGGGCTGGCACGGGGACATGTCCGCCACGGGGCTGTGGTGGGGCAGGTGCCACCAGCACTCTCAGGAGGGCAGAGAAACGAGGTACATAGCACCTGGGTCCATAAACAACCACGGGGAGCGAAGATGCCCCTCAGCCGGGACCTCTCGCTCGCAGAAACTTACATGCGAGAAGAATTCGTTTGTTTATGTAAGCCACTGCTGTACTTGGGGTCTGTTGTAGCACTTTAACCCATGCCCTAACATACACAGAAACCGGAATCAGGAGTAGAAAACGGCCATAACAAAAACTTAAAATAATGGTTTGGTGGTGATCTGGTGACGAGAACAGTGATGCTGGAGTTTGAAAATCAAAGGACTCTTTTTATGCTGTATTAAAATATCTGGTAGGCCTGTGACCTGCAATGACTTGGGGAGCGGAAAAGGCTTGTGCAGAGCCTGCTGCTCTGGGAAAAGCGGCCTGCCCTCTAGTGCTGTCACAGCCAAAGGCAGAGCGCGATTCCGATCTGCCAGAGAGCTTCTCTCTGCCCGTTATATTCAAACTGTTAAAATGAGCATATGTAAAAATACCTTTAGGAAGCATTTCATTTCTACCCAGAGATGCCCAGAGCACGTGTGAGATGTGCTTTCTGGGGTACCATTTCTATTACTAGGTACTGAGAAAGGGTAAGAATCAAGAGAAATGTAAAGAAGGAATAAGACTGTCTCAGAAGCTTACAGACACTGCACCCAAGGGACCAGGGTCGCACACCATTCCTTTCCCCTGGGAGCACCGCTCTTCTGAGAGCCGGCTCCACTCAGCCTCCTTCCCAAATCGTTCCCTCCAACAGGGGACGTCCGCTCTGCTCTCTCATTGTGCGCTCTACCACTTACGGCTTCTCCTTGAAATTTTGCTCCTCCTGACAATTGTAGCACAATCCCAGCTATTCCCTTATTTTTGTCCTCCTCAAAAAGAATATACATAACATGTTCAACATTTTTGGAGGTTTTTATTTGATTGCAACTAAGGGGAAACAAGTAGGAGGGCAGTGTGTCTGTCTGTCTGTATGTCTGTCTCAAATTGGAACTAGAAGGAAACAGCAAGGTTAAACGTGAATGTTAGTGGTAGGGTGGTAGGTTTTCGGGTACACACCCTTTGCAGTTAGGTTCCCGGCATATCAGAAGGAAGAAAAACATGCTCAAACTAAGGTCCTTTTTTATTTTAATGGGAACAGGAATAGGCCCAATCCACAAAGACATTATAAGGCCAGCTCTAAGACTTCACCCTGTTCTCTCCTTTCTCCTCTCGTTATTATCCTGCTCTGCCCATGATCCTAACCTGGGTCTACTAAAGAACCAGTGGAGATTGGTGGGGCTGGCTTTACCTTTGGTTTGGATTTTTTTGTTTTGGTCCTTTGTTCTTCAAGGAACAAGGAGGAATCTTATGACTGCTTCCTAAGGGATAGTTCCAGCCACAAAACAGAAAAAGAGGAAGCTATACATAGGTACGTGAAACTATGTAATAAGAGAACCTATCTTTTTACAACGTCACTCTTCATTTAGGAGAATAAGTTAGATCTTACTATCCGTCAAAGTCAGGGCAGGACAATTAAACCAGTATTTTTGTCTCCCTCTTCTCCTAGCCCTGGTCACCAGAAGACTGTCTGAGTTTGGCAGCAGAACGTGGAACAGACTGCTCTGGATGAAAATTATGTCATGCAAATTTCCAACCAGAGGCGCTCTGGGTAGGATCACTGTGGACCCATGACAACTGGGGAAAACCCTCGGATGCCGTCTGGACCTCCAGTTTACTGGTGAAAATGCATTCTTGAACCCCAGTCTGCGCTTGTTCCTGAAGCAAGAACGCTAACCACTCAGCCAATGAAAGAGCCACAGCTCGGGGCCTCTGCCACTTTGCAGAATTGTTGCCTTTCATAGGGTCCTATTCACGCAAAACTGAAAACTGGGGTACACAGACACTTTTTACATTTAAAATACATCAGTGTTATATTTTTCTTCATTGTATCTTTCTCCTTGCTCTGAAACTGACCTCAAATACAGCAATGCCACTTGGTGAGAAAACGCTCTCAAGCCAGAAAGGTGTGGTCCCTACACCTCTGAGGATGATGAGAGGGGGCTGGTTTTATCACAAGCCCCTACCTGTGTTTACTCTCCAACCACTAGGTGGCACCAGTGCGGTGGTAACTGCACTAAAGAACCAGAGGACACAGGTGAGGGGGTTCCTCCCAGAACTTGAACGGCCTGGCATGTCACTCAATGGCATCACCTCTGTGCTTCTGCGGAAGCACAGATCAAGGGGATGCGACGGTGAGTTAGACCTAACCCCTGCCCCACACAATGCAGTTCTACCTCCCACGACTCCTGCTTAATCCTAAATAGCTGATTCTATGACACAGAAAGTTTAAAGTCATAGCAAAGGGTGTTTGCTGTGTTAGTTAAAATCAAAGGCTTGGACTCAACTGGTCCAGAATTTGCGTCCTAGCTCAGTCCTTTGCTAACAGTGTGACGCTGGCAAGTTACTTCACCTCATCTCAATTTCAGTGTGCTAATCATTTAAAAGAGAGCTAAAAATAAATTAAAAAATAAAAAATAAAGAGAGCTAATGCCACGTAGTATAGAACTGTCTTTAAGAGCAAATGGATAATACACGTAAAGCACTTAGCCCAATGCTTGAAGTATATAGTAAGTATAGGTATGTGGTTGCTATTCTGATTATTTAATTCACACACTATATTCTAACTATTTACTTTCCCATCTAGTTGGATAACAACCCACTAGATATCGAACTCTTGATGTCAGATC